GAGTTTCCAGAAAGCTGTTTTCAATGGCAGAAACACCCCTCCTTTGTCACACACCTTATATTCATATGCACTCACTCAAGATACAGAGTTCATACATTGGAACAAAACAGAGGCAGAAGCCAAGACCGAACTGCAATGCAAGAGGCTTTGTCTGCTAGAATTTCAAGCAGATCTCGTTCATCACTTCGTGCCCTAAAAGCTGCTGTGGAGCTGAAACACACAACGCAGCTAAAGCTGCTGCATCCTCGCCCAGCTCTGAACTCGTGGCATCTCGGGCAGAGACGGAGCCGGGAGCTGAGGCGGGAGCTGCAGGGGCCGAGCCCGGCGGGGCCGGTGCCGGTTCCCGGGGCCGGGGCCGGTTCCCGGGGCCGGTGCCGGTTCCCGGGGCCGGGGCCGGTTCCCGGGGCCGGTGCCGGTTCCCGGGGCCGGGGCCGGTTCCCGGGGCCGGTGCCGGTTCCCGGGGCCGGGGCCGGTTCCCGGGGCCGGTGCCGGTTCCCGGGGCCGGGGCCGGTTCCCGGGGCCGGTGCCGGTTCCCGGGGCCGGGGCCGGTTCCCGGGGCCGGTGCCGGTTCCCGGGGCCGGGGCCGGTTCCCGGGGCCGGTGCCGGTTCCCGGGGCCGGGGCCGGTTCCCGGGGCCGGTGCCGGTTCCCGGGGCCGGGGCCGGTTCCCGGGGCCGGTGCCGGTTCCCGGGGCCGGGGCCGGTTCCCGGGGCCGGTGCCGGTTCCCGGGGCCGGGGCCGGTTCCCGGGGCCGGTGCCGGTTCCCGGGGCCGGGGCCGGTTCCCGGGGCCGGTGCCGGTTCCCGGGGCCGGGGCCGGTTCCCGGGGCCGGTGCCGGTTCCCGGGGCCGGGGCCGGTTCCCGGGGCCGGTGCCGGTTCCCGGGGCCGGGGCCGGTTCCCGGGGCCGGTGCCGGTTCCCGGGGCCGGGGCCGGTTCCCGGGGCCGGTGCCGGTTCCCGGGGCCGGGGCCGGTTCCCGGGGCCGGTGCCGGTTCCCGGGGCCGGGGCCGGTTCCCGGGGCCGGTGCCGGTTCCCGGGGCCGGGGCCGGTTCCCGGGGCCGGTGCCGGTTCCCGGGGCCGGGGCCGGTTCCCGGGGCCGGTGCCGGTTCCCGGGGCCGGGGCCGGTTCCCGGGGCCGGTGCCGGTTCCCGGGGCCGGGGCCGGTTCCCGGGGCCGGTGCCGGTTCCCGGGGCCGGGGCCGGTTCCCGGGGCCGGTGCCGGTTCCCGGGGCCGGGGCCGGTTCCCGGGGCCGGTGCCGGTTCCCGGGGCCGGGGCCGGTTCCCGGGGCCGGTGCCGGTTCCCGGGGCCGGGGCCGGTTCCCGGGGCCGGTGCCGGTTCCCGGGGCCGGGGCCGGTTCCCGGGGCCGGTGCCGGTTCCCGGGGCCGGGGCCGGTTCCCGGGGCCGGTGCCGGTTCCCGGGGCCGGGGCCGGTTCCCGGGGCCGGTGCCGGTTCCCGGGGCCGGGGCCGGTTCCCGGGGCCGGTGCCGGTTCCCGGGGCCGGGGCCGGTTCCCGGGGCCGGTGCCGGTTCCCGGGGCCGGGGCCGGTTCCCGGGGCCGGTGCCGGTTCCCGGGGCCGGGGCCGGTTCCCGGGGCCGGTGCCGGTTCCCGGGGCCGGGGCCGGTTCCCGGGGCCGGTGCCGGTTCCCGGGGCCGGGGCCGGTTCCCGGGGCCGGTGCCGGTTCCCGGGGCCGGGGCCGGTTCCCGGGGCCGGTGCCGGTTCCCGGGGCCGGGGCCGGTTCCCGGGGCCGGTGCCGGTTCCCGGGGCCGGGGCCGGTTCCCGGGGCCGGTGCCGGTTCCCGGGGCCGGGGCCGGTTCCCGGGGCCGGTGCCGGTTCCCGGGGCCGGGGCCGGTTCCCGGGGCCGGTGCCGGTTCCCGGGGCCGGGGCCGGTTCCCGGGGCCGGTGCCGGTTCCCGGGGCCGGGGCCGGTTCCCGGGGCCGGTGCCGGTTCCCGGGGCCGGGGCCGGTTCCCGGGGCCGGTGCCGGTTCCCGGGGCCGGGGCCGGTTCCCGGGGCCGGTGCCGGTTCCCGGGGCCGGGGCCGGTTCCCGGGGCCGGTGCCGGTTCCCGGGGCCGGGGCCGGTTCCCGGGGCCGGTGCCGGTTCCCGGGGCCGGGGCCGGTTCCCGGGGCCGGTGCCGGTTCCCGGGGCCGGGGCCGGTTCCCGGGGCCGGTGCCGGTTCCCGGGGCCGGGGCCGGTTCCCGGGGCCGGTGCCGGTTCCCGGGGCCGGGGCCGGTTCCCGGGGCCGGTGCCGGTTCCCGGGGCCGGGGCCGGTTCCCGGGGCCGGTGCCGGTTCCCGGGGCCGGGGCCGGTTCCCGGGGCCGGTGCCGGTTCCCGGGGCCGGGGCCGGTTCCCGGGGCCGGTGCCGGTTCCCGGGGCCGGGGCCGGTTCCCGGGGCCGGTGCCGGTTCCCGGGGCCGGGGCCGGTTCCCGGGGCCGGTGCCGGTTCCCGGGGCCGGGGCCGGTTCCCGGGGCCGGTGCCGGTTCCCGGGGCCGGGGCCGGTTCCCGGGGCCGGTGCCGGTTCCCGGGGCCGGGGCCGGTTCCCGGGGCCGGTGCCGGTTCCCGGGGCTCCCCCCGCTGCTTGGGCTGCGGGAACGGCCACGAGAGGGCGAGCACGGCCCGGCCGTGGGGCCCCCTCACCCCGGGGAGGGAGAACGTGAGGGAAAAGGGCTGAGGACACCGCATTCCGGTGACATCTTCCTTCTCTTTGAGTAGGGGCGGAACCTCCCCCCAAGCACATGTGAACGGGTGGGTTTGAGAACTGCTTGGAGAGGTGTGTTTGGGTTTTTTTCCAGAGCAATGCTGATACTGTAATCGTTGAATGTTACATGTTAGAAAAATTACAAGACTGAAGTTAAACCTGATATCGGCTACAGGTGCTGGGATCATCTTCTCAGCCTGTGGTTTTCATGTGAACATCTTGTTATTTAACATATAGCACACTCCAGATGGTATTTGCTATCACCAGCAGGTCGAGGGAGGTTGCCTAGAGAAATTGTGGATGTTTTATCCCTGGAAGTGTTCGAGGACAGGTTGGATGGGGCTTTGAGCAACCTAGTCTAATAGAAGGTTCCCACCACGTTAATGAGGACAGCTCTGCCTTCAGCCCAAGCCGCAGCCTGACCCGCAGGACCCACCACCTGCTGCCAATGCTCCTTCAGCCCGAGCCCAGCAGCTCTACCCAGCATCGTGGTGGAGGGAGAAGGGGGAAGTTGCAATCTCCTGGCTCACAAGTTCTCTCTGAGATTTTCTGACACTGGAGAGATGAGCAAAGCTGACAGCTTCCCGCTTTTGAAAGCACATTGCAAAAGCACAGTGGTTGCAGGTCAGGCCTGAGGGTCACACAAAGATCCTAAGTAACCAGTACAACAGCAGAGACCTATCCAAATGTGCATCAGGGCACCAGCAGCATTTCATTTTTCTAAGGAAACACCACAACATGATGGTGACTGAAGAGCAATCATTAAGTCACTATTCCCCCTGCTCCCAGTGTCTGTGAAAAAAAAATAACAAAACAACACAACAAACCAATAACAGGAATTTCATTGAATGATGCACCACATCACATAGTTTACTAAATGAGTGGTAATTTACCACAAAGCAGAGACCCACCAAAATGCTTTTTTTCCCCTTGTTTATGCTATTTTGTTGTGTTGTCCAATGCTTCACTAAGACAAACATTTACTTTCTTACACAGCCTAGAAAAAACTATACTTTGGCTTCTTCAGAAATACTTCTCTGCTGGAATTGCTCATTTATAGCATCTTATTCATATAACTGGCTGGATGTGTCCTGGCTTGTGCAGCTTGCAAGCAAATCTGATTAACTGCTACACTGTTAGGAAAGACATGCTTTTGTTTAAAGATCTTAATCTAAATATTCATTTACTCCTTCGAAAAGCTGGGAGCTGGGAAGAAAAACAAGCATATACTTGGCCAAGAGTTACTGTTTGATGAAGATATGAAAAACCAGCATAGAATACGTTAACTGAGATAATAGAGAAGGGAAATCCCAACAAGAAGCACTTCATGTGGGGAGGTTTCTAAATCCATACAGGTCCCTCCAGATGCAAACCTTCAAAAGGCCTTCAAGCTGTGCAACCTTATTTTCTTTAAAACTCTATGAATAAACCTTACTGTTCTATCACAGGAGAGAAATTGCTCATCCACTTTGCAATGCAAAATTATTAGAATTGTTTCCTCATGCATAAGAAAAATGAAATGAAGAGAATAAATCTAAAATGCAGAAAGACTGGACATATGGAAAAGCACTCTGACAGGTTCAGATCAAAGGTCCTGGAGCAGCAGTTGCTGCAGAGCCCTACAAGCCTCTTCTGGGTGCTCAGCAGGACAGATCTTCCCTCACCAGAAACTACTGCCTGGCAGCTTGTAGGCACTTTTACTCCCTGTTGCAACAGCCTGGAGAAGAGTCAGACTAACAGCAGGCACTTTCACAGTTTTTCTAGGAATTCCCCAAATCTTTACCAATCTGTTTGATATATAATTGGTAATTTTTCTTTGGCTTTTTGTCATTTTTTTTTTAAGTGTTGTCCTCTTAAGGCTACATCCCACATTGCAGGGGATTGTTGGCTTACAGCCCTGCTCCCATACTTTCCCTTTTATTAAAATCTTTGTAAATAACCCCAAAAGCATGCCTAGAACAGCTCCATCTTTTAACAAATTTCAAAATACTCTTTGGTTTTGTTTTTCTTAAGCTCAAATAGAATTTCTCAAGATGAATGACTCCATGGTTCCTGAACAGACACAGATGCCAAGTGCAGCCAAGGCAGTGATTGCAGCTGTGCAGTCACGCAGAAGGAGCAGCAGGCAGAGCACAGCTCCCTGCCTCTGTATCTAAGGTGGATAAACCAAATCATTGAATGTTCTCAGCCAGACCAGGACACAAGGTAATGACTTGTTCCTTCAGAGGTAAGAAAAGAAGCCAACTGCTGCCAAACTGAAGTGAGAGGAGAGCCATGTGAATTTGGAAGAAAGCAGCTGAAAGGTGGGGCTCACCACAGCGATCTCTGATAACCAGGTTCCGTCCTTCCTTCAGGTGGATGGTCAGCAGGTAGGCAAAGGGACTGGGCAGGTCACTCAGGCAATCATTTGCTTCCTCTAGAGCCTAAGGAGAACAAAGAAATCAGTCACCACTGCACACTTCCTGAAGCAACCATGAATGAAGCAGGTGTGCTCTCAGTTCTGCAGAGACAAAGTTCTTGGCTTCCCTTAGGGTGATCCTTTACAGGAAGAACAAAAAAAACCAAAGAAAACCAAAACAAAATAATCCACCACATTTCTTTACCAGGCTTTGTGTTTTGTTTTGTGGGGGTTTTTTTTATTATTTGGTTGAGTTTGGGTTTTTTGATGGTTTAACTCAAAAGGTCCTTTCCAACCATGACGATTCTGGGATTTAAATGATCAGCATCAGGCACATTCAACAAAAGAAGGGGTAAAACAGGGAGGTTTGTACCTGAAAATGGGTGATAATATTAAGATCTAATACATGCCCAGGTTTTCCAAATCCTACCATTTTCCTGCATTCTTTTTTTTTCCCCGAGCTGTTCATAGTGCTTTCAGGGAACATTTCAAGATGAAAGGGACTCATAAGGATAATCAAGTCCTTTTGTACTCATCTGATGAACTCCCGAGGAAGTACACATTTAGTATAGTTACTGAGAGGATGGAATTTCTTTACACTTTGCTTGCTCACTAGGAATGCTAGTGGTAAAGTTTTGAGGTAGCAAACTCAAGAGAAGTCTTGTTCCTCAGAGATGCTACCAAGGTTACACATTCAGCAGGAGCAGCAGCATCCAGTCAGCACATCTGGTGAAAACAACCTGTCCTTATTTTATTCCAGTTTGTTCCTGGGCTGCTACTTCAGAATTTATGCTTGATGCTCTCAGCAGTTACCAGTGCAACATGGAAATTATAGACTTAAAAAACCCCAGAACATTCAGGTCTATTAAAACATTAGCAACTGCTTTAGACTACCAAACAAAAAAAAAGCAAAAAAAAAAAGCAAAAAAAAGCCCCAACAACAACAACAAAAAAACCCCAAAACACTAAACAAACCAAAAACCCAACAAACAAAAAACACCACATTGGAGAAACCTATGGAAAGCTTCTTCACCTGCTGGGTTTTTTAGCCTGTAAGAAGCAAAGAACCTAAACCTAAAGTAAATTCTGCTTCTGATCAAGTTTCAAAATGCTTCAAAATGAAAGGACTTACCAGTTGATCATCAAAAATTTGAGATGATATGGAAGAGTCTAGATCCATTCCCCCACATGGATACTATAAAAGATACAATTAATTAGACAACAGTAATATAGGGATCAAGAAAATATTCATGCATATGTGTAACCAGTGAAATTCTTTTACTTCTGCTTAGAGAACCTTCCCCTCTGTAATTCAAAGTACATTTCTTTTTCCTGTTTTACAATAACTGCTCTAAGTCTCTTGAGTCTGATCTAAAAATAAGTGCCTGCTTCCAGCTATTGGAACAAATTCTTCTCCTCCCCTGTAGAGACCTGTGCTTTCAGTGCTGCAGGTCTTCACTACAGACTCTCCTGATGCCTGAAGGTTATTGCACTTGGTGTTGCAACGCTGGCCCCTAATCCTGAGCAGAATTTTATTTGTTGAATCTCCAAGTGTCCTCACTAATATGAAATTTAAAATGCCAGAAGTGATGGCAACAGCAGCAATACCCAGGGGTGGGAGAGCAGGAAGGCAACGTCCAAGAGAAGGTTTTCTGAAGGGGGGTGCAAAAAAACTCAAGCAAAAATAGTTTAAAAGAAATGGTCAAAGGGAAAGGGGAAAAAATATGTTGAACACATACTCCCCCCAGACTTTTGGCAGTAACTGAAAGACCCAGAGAATTTTTATCTAGTTCCCAGTGTAAGAGAGGAAGTAAAAAAAATTCTTCCGAAATACTGACTCATTCAGAAACTTGAGGCTCTGGTGACATGGCATCTAGACTGGAGAAACAGAAGGGATTCACTGGTCGAGACACCTCTGATGCTGTTTTGACTGCTAGAACAGGCTTTGATCATCGTTTTAGCAGAAGAGGACCCACGTGCCTAGGCAACTCTTTTGGCCTAATGGCAGGGCAAACACAGCCCATTCAAATACCAAGATTTGTGCTAAGAAGAACCTGTCTACAGAAATGCACAAAAGGTGGAACTCAATCCTCATGGGAAAATGTTATTATGTGCAAACCTCTCAGATGAGATTTGCTTTGTGTGGAACACTGTACAAATATTAAAATAAAGAATCAGAGATCATAAATCTTAGACATGTTGATACACTGAAATAAATATTCTTGTCTGTAATTCCTCTCGTCTTCCACCCCCCAAACACATACATTGTATATCAGGAAGTACAGTGATCCAGCATTGCAAGTAAAATTTCACTTGCATGACAGACAGAATTTAACATTACAGTTCCCACAGTAATCGTAACTTGGCCATCTTGCAAAAACACATTAAAGGTAGAAAAATTATCATCATAAAGAGCAGCAGCAGAGTTTTCTTGCACAACAGAGCTGAATTACAGGTGCTAAGGGAACCCTAACTTTGAATTTCCTGCCTAGTGTGCATAAAATCTCACTTGTGTGCATTAAACCCACGGTTTCTCATAGTCTCTGGCTTCACACGAATCTCCTTCAGGCATCATCATTGACACTGATAATGGTTTCTCTTAGCTTATTTTACATGGCATAAACACAGAATTGGGAGAGCTGGGCAGAGAAGAACCTAATGAGGTTCAACAAGGGCAAGTGTAAAGTTCTGCACCTGGGGAGGAAGAACTCCATGCACTGATATAGGTTAGGGGTGGACCTGCCCTCCTGAGGAAAAGGATCTGGGGGTCCTGGTAGAGAATAAATTACCCATGAGCCAGTAATATGCCCTTGCCAAGAGCAAGAAGGCCAATGGAATCCTGGGTTGCATACAGAAGAGTGTGGCCAGCAGGTCGAGGGAGGTCATTTTCCCCCTCTACTCTGCCCTGCTGAGGCCACATCTGCAATATTCCAGTTCTGGGCTCCCCAGTTCAAGAGAGACAGGGAACTACTAGAGACAGTCCAGTGGAGGGCAACAAAGATGACTGGGGGACTAGAGCATCTCCCTTATGAGGAAAGGTTGAGGGACTAGAGACTCTTTAGCCTGGAGAAGAGAAAGCTGAAGGAAGACCTTATCCAAAGAGTGAGTGCAAGGAGGATGGAGCCAGACTCTTTTCAGTAGTTCCCTGTGACAGGACTAGGGGCAACAGGCACAAGCTGGATGAGAGGAAGTTCCACCTAAATATGAAAAAAAGCCCCTTCTTTATTATGAGGATGACAGAACACTGGGACAGGCTGCCCAGGGAGGTTGCAGAGTCCTCTTCTCTGGAGATATTTAAGACCACACATGGATGCAGTCCTGAGTAATGTGCTCTAGGAGATCCGTCTTTAGCAGGGGAGTTGGACTAGATAATCTGTAGAGGTCCCTTCCAACTCTGACAATTCTGTGAGAATAACTGTATTGAAGTTACAACACTAAAAAGTACCCTCTCTGCTGGCCTGATAACACTGATAGTAAAATATTACTCTCAAAGTTATTATTTTATATGTATTCTGCCTTCTTTACTTGCATTACATAGACAGATTTTGAACAAAGATTATAATTTTAAATAAAAAGCTTGTTTATTTTTCATTTTAGCTCTATATAATGTAAATTGCTATTTTCTATGTAGCTAATTCAATGAGATCATTGAATATAGATAAATGCCCTGCTGAAAATATGGTCCTGACATCTTGATTATATCTAACTACCGTGATGGTTCTGAACTTCAAAGAATAAACAAGTGGCCACATCCACCAAGCAGGTCATAGTCTCAAATGTATCTCTACAACAATGCATCAAATAAGAGTATATAGATTAAGGGATAAAGATAAATAAAATGTTCCCCCAGACAAGATTTACCACCTCTTATCTCCTCTTGTTTTCTGAGGAAGAATGATTGCACATGCAAGGGCAGTGAGCACATCAGCAATGTGACAAAGCTATGGTTTGCCACTGACTCAGTGGAAGGTGTCAGTAAGAAGATAAATAAGTGTCATTCAAGCACTTCAGCAATGATGTGTGACCGCGGACAAAACCCCACTGCAAAAAGTGGCATTAATGGTGCCCTTTGCAACCTGAGTCCACCAGGGAGGTTCAATGCAACTGCAGTTGCTCCTTCGCCCTTCAAGTTTGTCTTGCTGGGCTGCAATGGAGAACAGGTCAAGTAAATCTCTTAGCAAATGGAAACACGGTGCCTGTGGCAAGAGCCTTCCCTGAAGACACAAGCTCTGACAGTGAGAACTCTATAGGGAGAGGTTAGATGACTGTAAAAACCACAAGCTCACGTTGAGCTCAAGCATGAGGCTCAGAAAGTATCTGATAATATTGGGTGACCAAAGATAACCAGGAAATGAGTAGGTGGCATGTGACAAGCAATTCAGGGGGAAAAAAGCTCAACCTACATTTCTGCTTTTTTTAGTTTGTTTTGTTCCAGGGATCTGCCTTCCTTCTGATTTACCTCACTGATCAGTGGGTGATGCTCACTAAAGAATGATGTGAGCTATTGTTGTGCTCCTGACAGCAACCCCACCCAGAATGAGGAGACCAACAACTTCTGCAACAAACTTTCTCTATCCAAAGTACACGGAGTGTACTGTAGCTGTTCACTGAAGTACACAAAAAGCTGAATATTGAAGTGTTTACCAATTTCAACTTCAAACATAATTCACATTTACATTTATTCAGTACTCTGTATCTATTTCTACTTTGCTTTACCATCTGCTATGTGTGCTTTATAAAAAAAAAATAATCTTTCCACATTATAAAGTTATAATTGGGGGCAGATTTTAGGAAGGAAGGTAGGATATTCATATAGCAATATGATTTGGTAGAAAAATAAATAGTAAATTCTTTATACATACAAACACATAAAGAAATAGACAATTTGGGAAACTTAAATGCTCAGACTGTGCAACTGGAGGAAACCTGAAGTTAAGCTATTCCAACACCATGCAGGTACCTCCTTCTCCTGAAGCACTTCCTGTGTTCAAACTCAAAGCAGGATTTAGGATTAACTTTGGTGCTGCTGTAATAAATTGAAGTCAGAGCTTCTGGTCTACAACAGCAGGAAAGAACTGTTGCTGCCATTAAAACAATCTGGAGAAACTAAAATGATGTGTTCTTAATGTCCAATCTACCATATATTGAGCAAGTTTATACAACTTGTTAGTAAAGTGTAATCACAGAAACAAAATTACATAGTATTTCATCTATTTTTCTTAAGCAGACCTCTGAATAATGGTGCACTCCAACAAGGTGAAGCCAATGTGTTAAGAATTTAGCAACACTGAACTGGAAGTGATGGTCAGTGACTACCAGGCTGATATTCTGCATCACAACAGACTTGGAACTAACACTGCTTTGATGAGAACACACAGGACTGCAGAACAATGAGTTCTGTATCAGAAAGGACCATTTTCCTCATAGCAGCACTAGCCATCGTTTTGAACATGCAGTTAGAAAATGTTAATTAACATGTGAAATCACCACTCCCAAAGGAGAACTTCAAACCAAAACATGTTTTCCATTTTTGCATCTCAGATGACTAAGGAAAGCAGCTACCATAACTGTTACACCTATGTTATGAGGAACAGGCCTCAAAGTTTAAAATGTAACATTTCCAATGAAAACTCAACAGGAGGAGATATAATTCCATAAAACAAAAATATATCCCTGAAAACATTCAAAGTCAGGTTGAACAGGGCTCTGAGCAACCTGATCTAGTTGAAAATGTCCCTGGTCACTGCAGGGAGGTTGGATGAGTTGACCTTCAAAGGTCCCTTCCAACCCAAACCATTCTATGATTCTGTGACACCCCTGAACATGATGCTGCACGTTCACTGTCCTCAATCACATGCTTGTTTTGGTCAATTCAAGGTTCAAGCAGAGTTCACCTCACTCACCCATCGTCTGTCACCTCTTGACTTCAGCTGGGTCTTGAGTGGGTGGATGGTAACTTGATTTTGCTATACAGCAACCCTGGTAAAGCTTTATTAACTAAAAAGAACTATAGCAAAGGTATCAGCAGCACATTTCAGAGCTCAGAGGGATGCAACAGATTCTGACTTAAGCAAGCAATTCCAACAAAACTGAGAAATCTGAAGTATCACAACCTTGCCAGAAGAAACAGAATGGAGGGCGGTTATTTTGCAGCTCCAGGTCGTGTGTGGTTTATGCTTATTCTTATCCCCCAGTTATTACTTGCCCCCTCCTCCTCCCCTTTATAGCCCAGACAATTGAGGAGAAGCACAAAAAGCCTGAGTCCGGCTGATGCCCAAGCACCCACCTCTGTCCCCTCCTCGGTCAGCGTGGTGCTCAGGCGGGCTCTCTGCAGCAGCTCAAAGAGGTCATCACTGGATTTCCTCTTCCCCTCAGACGCGGAGCTGCCTGTGACCTGCACGTCCGGGTGGGTGGCTGTCCCCTCTGTGCACACCCCCTGCTGCTCTGCTGCCCACGGCCAGTCCTCTCTTGCCAGCCTCACTGAAGCACATCTGCTCTTCAGGGACCTGGAGAAGCTTTTGGGGGAGCAGTTTGACAACACCTGAGTACTTGAATAAGTCGTTTCCTCTTCCGTAAGAGTTTCCACCTCCAGCATGTCAGGCACCGACACGCTGAGGCGTCGGTCCAAGGAGTGCACCTTCCTCTCCACCATTTTGCTAGACCTCTTCTTTGTCTTCTTCACACTCAGGTTTTGCAAGAAGGGTCTAGTTTTCTGTTTCAGCGAACCCCAGACAGATGGTTTATCCAAGTCCATTGTTGCAAGGGGAATCTCAGCAATGCCTCCTGCATGAAACGGCTTCAGCAATTCCCAGGGTGACTAAAAGGAACGTAGGAAGAAGACAAGTCAATCACGGAAGTGAACAGACCATGATTCATGTCTCATCTTCAAACTTCCAGGCACTTTTCTAAGCAGTTAAGCCAACAATGCCACACTGGTAAGTGCTTCCAAATACAATCTGGTGGCTAGGTTTGATTACTTAGGAAGCAAAGAGCCAGAACAAGTATTTAATCCTACACTAAAATGCAATGTCTGCCCACTACTTTATGATTGCTAAGAGGAAATCTCATATTCCTTCTGCTAAGTCCATATTTGCAACAAATTTGAGATTTGTCCAATTTGAAACTGTTTCTGTACAAAACTTACTGATGGGAGTCAAATCGTGATAACGTTAGTACACAAAGAAGTGCTGGCAAAGCTGGCACCTTCATGTCTGCTGATGCTTTTCCAGTCTATACAGGGTTTTTTCAGCTATTTCCTAGGCTACATGGATTCTTACACAACATGTTAGCAGACAAACACAACACAAAAATCAGCTCCACAAACCAAGTGTCTGAAGCTGAAAGGGACAGATGGGACATGTGAAATCCCAGCTGAGACCCCAAAACACTCCTTTATGGTAATTCACTGCCAGTAAAAGTCACCAATGCAGAATTAGTTTTCCTTGTAAAGAAGGAAAGGCAATTCAGAGAAAATGAGGATGGATGGATCACTTGTAGACTTTTTAAATCTAATGATCTTTGAGCAATTCATACTGAGCATTTATACAGCAGGGAAGGACAATAAATAAAAGAGCCAAAACAGAATCACTCACTGTATCTGCATTGTAAGGGAGTGGTCAAATGGACACTTCTTCTGTGCACAGGTATATCCTCATGGACAGTGTCTTTTCTGGCTAGTAGCTGAGGAACCATCCTTATTCTGTAAGGCAGAGACAGTCAAATTATCATCTAAACTCAGTGAAAAAACCTGATGAAACCTGCAGATTTACAGTCCCAAAGACACCCACAGAGCTTGTAGCTCATACCTATATCCTTAGAAATGCATACCATTAACTACACAACTGCTGCTTCCCAAACTCATAGCACGTTTACATTCTAATGTTTGCACAGTTGAAAAAAAAAATTGCTTTGCTCAGTTTTCCTGATCACTAGGGAAAATGGCAGAAGAGGCAATAGAAATGCAACTGTTGGATGAATCCAGACAGAGAAATCACTGTCTGCTTTCAAATTCCGTTCTTACATTCTATAATTTGAATGAGATTAAATAGTCAATTACTTAATAACTTAAATAATTTTATGACTAACTAGCAGAGTGTTCGGACATCTACAAAAATGCTTTAACTGTATATAAAGCTGCACAACCCTCCTCTCATTTATACTGGTAGATAAGTTAATAATATCAGCATTATATTACACACAAAAAATAAGCTTCAGTGGCATTACATGCATTCTCAAGGCAGTAACAAATTTTGCCCCGACAGGAAGGTGCACTAGAGATATATCAGCTGAATACAGTATTTTCACCTCTTTCTTCAGAAGTCAAACCCAGTATCAAAGTGCCCATGGACTCTCACAGCATCACTGAGAAGAAATCGTTTTCTCAACCTCGCAGGGAGGAATCTGAGGCACACAAAAGCACTGAGGGGCTTTCTTTTCTCACTGAGCTTGAAGTGAAGTACGAGACGATCAGATTTTCAGAAGGAGGAGAAAAGAAATAAATGCCAACTCTAACACACTTGATGGGGAGGCTGGAATGCCTGTTTTGGAGCAGCACTTCATGCACTGTGCAAGCTCACTGGACACATAGCTGAATTTGTTCTCACTGGCTGATAGATTTGAGCTTGGGCTCTTCCCCCTTTCAATAAAAAACTTGACAGGGCAACCAGAGGCTTCCTTGGTAGCATTCCATCACATGCCAAGTAATAGAAATTGTTAGGCTGAACACACTTGCACAAGACATTATGAAATGCCACTGTTGGGACTCATTTAAACAACTCATATACACTGCCAAGGCTTTCTGCTTTGCTCACCTACATGCATAGAAACCTGCTGAAATAAAGATATTGTAAATACAGGCAGGACCCAGTTCACTACATCCAAGGCTCTTGCTGCTTCCTATTCCCTTCCTGTTGTTCTCCACCCCTCTAATTTTGACGACCCACTGCTGTCGGTTTTATTTTGTTTGCTTTGAGATTGTTTCCTAGCAGCAAGATTTGTTCCTGTAGGTTTTTCCAGTTACTTTCCCCCCCAGTTGAATGCTTTTTCCAGTTATATTCCTTCAGCTGCTAGAGTGAAATGTCCATTCAGCAAGGATGGTGCAGGGACCACACTGTGTCTGGCATCCACTTGCATTTAACCCAGAATGAGCAGAGTCTTTCTCAAACCAGGCAGAATCACAGTGGGGATTCTGGGGAAAAAGGAAAAAAATAAAAAGGGGGAGAAGTTTCTGGGTTTTGGTCAAGACATCAGGGAGGGTTCCAGCTACCTGACACCTGGGACAACACAGTGGGGATATCTGCTGCCTGGGGAGTACTAGGTTGCTATCACTTGTCTTTTTAAAAATAGTTAGCTTATAAACAAATTAATCCAAATTCTGGTTATAATACAGAAATAAAAACAAGCACACAAATTGTTCCAATCTGAGAAAAGGGTAAATACAGTCTGACATCAGCCATTCACAGACTGGCACATTTTCTCTTCCCCAGTTCAAACCAAATAACCACACATCACTGCCATGACCAGAAATCTGTTCCCCAGGGCTGGAGACCACCCTCCCACCCCAGCCTAGTGCTGGAGTCAGGTGTGCCAGGCTTTCCAGGATACCAATGTGCCACACCAGCGTTGTATCCACATGCACAACTGTTCTTTTTTTACTCCCTAAGTTTTTCTCTGTTCTTCTTTCCCATACTGAGCACAATTTCAAGAAGAGATTTTTTTTTCTCTTTCATGTGAAAAGGGTGTTCATGGTACTAACGTTGCTCACATACTCCTTATCCTCCACCAGCCAGAAGTCTTTTCTCTTCCTTCCACAGCCTCAGAAGTTCAGTGCCAACTGGATCACCAAACATTCCCTAAGCAACCACAGAGAAAAGTGTACTTTGCCAAACTCTTGGTCCCAACTCAGCCTCTTTATTCTTTTCCCTGCATCTACAACACATTGTAGCAAAAATCTGAAAGAAATATTCAAAAAGAAACATTTCCTGTTATCAGTTTTAACTTTGTTGTTTTTAGTTTAATTGAATGGCTCCTTTCTTTTATGTAACAAAAAAAAAACCAACCATTTTTAGCCTGTTTTCCTCAGCCTTCTCTTTAATATGCTGCTAAATCTCAAATGCTCAGAATAACCCATATATTTAAATCTCTTCCTTCAGAGACCACTTCTGATTGCACCCCTTGTTTTTATTATACCCTCTTCTTTTGCTGTCTCCTCCTCTTTTAGGGGCAATAGAGGCAAGAAGGATTAGTGACAGAAAAGTTAGTCACAAGTCTCCATTTATATTTGATATAACTAATATTTCTAGCATTTTATATTCCCCTACACATCTTCTAATTATGGTCCCTGGGATTTTACTATATTTTATGTGCTTTGGTTTCTCTCACTATAGCACTCCCTACATACATACTCCCTCAAATTGTTATAATATTTAGAGCTAAATTATTTTTTAGATGTTCTATCAGGTGGCTATAAGAGATATTTCAGATGCCACTGAAAGCCTAGAGAATTAATTCTGCAATTCTATTTCACTTACTGTCTTGTCAGGAAGCCAGAAAAGCCACAAGTGAGAAGTACTGCAAGACACTCTGAAAATATTGTACAAGTGCCCAGTATAACTAAACTGGAAAAACACCCAAATTGATTTACATACGGGAAATTATAGAATATATTGTCTTCACTAAGCAACCATTCCCTGCACACACAGAAGAGCACAATGCTCCCTGAAGCATTCCTGAAACTCTCGCTGCTAATGTTTTTAAGAAGCCTCCTCAAAGCCAGCAAGAAGATAAAAACCCAACTGAGCACATCACCACAGCTATTACAACTTCCATAAATCTCCTCATCATTGTACTCAATTTGTTTACTCAATTAAAGTGAAAACCTTGGGTCAGTTTGCACGTCATCCATCTTCCTAATGTCTGATTCAGTCTGTATGTTCTCAGCTACAGCTGCTGGCCAACATTTAAAACCATGGTGGCTGCAAATAACAACATTCATTAAAAGCTGTTAAGATGTTCCTCACTTGCATGCATCTTAACATAGGTTAAGACTGGAACTAACTATTGAAACTCCTCACTGTGAAGCCTCTACTGAGTCTGGTTGTTTTAGCCCAGGACATTCACCCCCATCTCTATGCCCATGACTGTCCCAGACAGGCAAAACGCAAATCACGAGACAGTGCACGAGTTACAAGCAAAGCTAATTAAGGCTTCTGCTCTGCAGCACAGTATTTGGCTATTGAAAGTTATAATAGGACCTTGAGATTTACCATTTCCCAATTCAGTGCACTGAGAAACATGACTGACATAAGGAGAAAGGTAAGGGAGCAGCAGGTGGGGTGTGTGGGGAGGGAACTGGGATCCTCTTTTCACACCTTTCTTTTAGCTTTTTGCTATAAATTCCACCCTCTGTCCCTAGGAGCCATAAATTAAAACATTCCTCCCTGAAAGAAAAAGTAGAATATCAGGCAAATAGCTGCTGGCTCGCTAAACAACTGTATGTGCTGGGTGGTTATTCCCATAGCAGATCACACTCCAGGTTTCTCTCATTGCCATGTCTAGAACACATTCAAATACAAATTACTAAAAGGGGAATTACTTTAGAAAAGGAAACGTACACTTCTGTCTTTGCAAAATCTGCTCTTTTCTTATTTCAGTACCTTATCTGGAAATGTGGCAGCTTTTATGATAAGCATCAACAGCTATGGAGACCAGAGAATACAATCCAAATTAGGTAACCCTTTCTACAGAGTTACTAGC